GGGGTTTGGGGTTTGGAGTGTAGGGTCCAGGGTTTAAGGCTTAGGGGCCCTAATGTACCAACGATTCGTCATCCTTGTGCAACCACACTCTGGATGCGGCAGGAAGATGTCAAATCGGACATGCCGCAAGCCGAACACAGGTCTGTGCTGGGTACCTGGCATAGCAGGACACCCTACCCCCGAAGCATAAACCTTAAGTCACTCTAAACCCAAGTCCACACGCTTAAAGGCTTACATCCTAAAGCGTGTAAAGTAAAACTTTTATTCCCGAACCTACGTCCCAAACCCTGCAACCCCAACTTGAAACCCTGTAAGCCGGAAGACGGCAGGGCACATGGCCGTCGATCTGCGAGTTGGCAGATGAGGCTGAAGTTTCGAACCTCAGCGCTAGGCTCTTCACTGTTGCTGTCATGGTTACGACAAATACGCACAGTCCCCGAACCTCACGAAACCAGTCTGGAATGTGACTCATTCAGGAGCCTTGGGGATAGAGTTTTGACTATACTATGAATATATATATATATATACACAGAAATATAACAAGGAACTCCCGAAGCATTTTGGCGATTATTTCGGCCTCTATCTCTAGATTATGTTGGCCCTAAGCCACCCCAACTATGACTACAGTAAGCAAGGCACGTGATTGCATCGCGACAGCCTGAGACCTAGCTCTTGGGCCCAGCTCCCACGAAGCACAAGGCAGTAGGCCCTACCCATGTCGGGCTCAAAGACCGTGCCATTAGGCTTTCGGGCTATTTTGACATGCAGGGTAACTCTGAGCTCAATATTTCTGAACCCCTAACCCCAATCTCAATATCCCTGAACCCTAAACCCTAAGTTAAGCCCGACAGCCTAAGCTCTAAGCTCAACAGAGCCCCAAACCCTAAACCCTAAACCTTTAAGGTGCCCTATGGCCACCCTAAACCCGTGAGAATGCCGAGCCCTCAGCCGCAGCTAGAGCCTGGACCTGGCCAGTAAGTCTGGGACCACGGATACAACAAATCAAAACTTCAAAAGATGGGTACCATATATATATATATATATTTATTTATTTATTTATTTATTTATTTATAGGGTTTAGGGTTTAGGGTTTAGGGTGTAATTAGGTTGTAGGGTTTAGGTGTATATATATATATATATGTAGAGAGATATCTGCAGACAAGTGTCTCGGGAATAAGATAGGTGTATGTGTGTGTACGTGTATTGAACTGTATAGTGCCGTACTGTATTGTTGTAGTGCGTTGTGCTGTACTGCACTGCATTGTACTGTATGGAGGCGTATGCATGTATGCACATACGTGGGTAGGGGGAAACACTGTGAGCAGGAGGAAAGTAAGTGGCTTGGCAGGTCAGTATATGGGGAGTTCTCTAAATTAGGGTCCCTTTTTAGGTCCCCAAAAAAGTACGGCACCCTTATAAAAAAGGACACCAAAAGGGACCCTAAACAGAGAACTACCCAAAAGTATGTGTAGGAACACCGATGGGTTTGTGCGTCGGATCCTGTCCCTTACTTAAACTTTAAAACCGTAAACGCTGAAACCAGAAAGCCGAAACCCCTAGACCCTAAACCCTAAACCCCGAAACCCCTAAAACCTAAAAGGATTCAGGGCTTAGGGTTTGTAGGGCTCTTAGGAGCAAGGGTTTAGGCTTTAGGGCTTGGTCATAAAGTTCTGAGGATAAAGGTCTTAGGCTTCAGGGTTTGTGATTTAGGGTTTAGGGTTTAGGGTTTAGGGATTTAGGGTTTGGGGTTTAGTGGGTTCCACTAAGTAATGTTTCGCTGGGTGTCGCATAGCAGGGGAGCATGGCCGCTGCTGCAGCAACAATCGATCCATCTCTTGTCCCAATGGGTCCAAAGTACTTGGATTTAGGGTTTAGGGTACACTTAAATTTTAATTGTCAAACGAAGCCAAACATCCTGGATGGGGGACACTTCAAACTTAGTTGTCAAACAAAGCCAGACATTCCAGCTATAAGAATCCGACTTTCTACGATGTAGGTACTTAGGACGCGGTGGGTATCGCCATTGAAACTTAGATGTCGGCGCCCCGCACCAGTTGAGGAATAAAGATGGCTACCATAGGGGCCTTGATAATTAGAATAGGGTTTTGGGGCCCATGTACACGCGAATTGTTCATAAGGACCCCCCCCCAAAAAAAAAACCTGTTCTTTCAATTGGAGTTCGGCAAGATCCGGGATGCCATCAATCCAAAAGAACTCTGGGGGCTTGGGGTTTAAAACCTGACAGCTAGAGAACCTAGATCCCTAGCAGCTGTATGCCTGTCCACAATTCCATACCCGAAACTGTGTGGCCTCATGCTCATCATTGGCGTTGTCGGAGAGCTCCTGATGATCCAAACCCCTAAACCATAAACCCTA